CGCGTGTAAGCTAATATTTTGAAGGCATTTCTGATAGTTCATGTTTCGTCACGTTCATCAATTGCTGTTTCAACGAAGTAAAAGGCTTTCATTGCGCTAAAGGGCCTTGAATCTGTCGCTGCGCGTAAGCAAATTCTGCCGTCCGGTCTGGTATCTCGCTGATTTAGGTAAGCAATTTAATTGATTGATACCTATATCTAGAATGCGTTAGACTTGTCAAGGGATCAATTCAATATTTCACTCACTGTACTTTGTCCACTGATATGGTGGTGTGCGCGCCGAATCCTGGCCTTAATTGAGCAAACGTTTTAATGTTGTCTACGACAATAAAAGTGAGTTTTGACGTTCAAAAACTTAAACGTTGAGTTAAGATAAAGGCCTTGTTTTTAATTAAGAGAGAGATAGAACTGAGAGTATTGTCTTCGCGAAGGACACTGCATGGAAAAGCTCTAAACATATATTTCGCTGCAGCATAAATTGAAGGCTTTTCTTTCAGTCATTATCTTTTGTCTTGGCATCGAGGAAAATTCAATAACGTTTCAGCTCCATTTCCGTTTATAAAGACAACATATAAAGAGACTGGGTGGCGATACGCACAGCACGCTTCGCCTACAGTCAGAAACACATCGCTCAGTTTCGTCTTAGCACTACCCATACCAGTTCTCGTGATCAAATACCCCTAACACACAATCTCTAAAACCATCTGTCGCACTTCTTGTTCAGGTGGTGCGAATTTGAACGGAATTTCGCTCTAGACCACGGCTTAAGCAACAGTATATGTTCGTTGATCAGATAATGATCGATTGGCACCAGTTGAAGTGAGTACATTTAAATCTTTCTCCTTGAACCGCTGTCTAAACGCGAGGGAATGCAAGATTGTCGAAGACAACCTAGGCACTTATCGTTATGGAAACAGCGCTTTAATTCTGGTTACAATGACGCATTGAAATAATTACACTGAGATGTTATCATGTTCTGATTCTTGGTTACATTTCAGTTACGGGATATCCCGGAACTGAAGCAGGGAAAGAAACGAATGTTGTCAGCAGTGCATGTAGTCGCCATAAACGAGTTGTTTTGAGCTTGTGTTCATGGCGGATGCTGCCGCTTGCTTAACGAACTATTTTCTTAGAAGCATACACAAAAGATTTGGAATTGCATTGCAAAACATTCCAGAAAGAACAGAGAGAATTTTGAATTAACCTTCCGTTACTCAAATTTAATAGTGCGCAATGAATATAGTCATTTCAAGGACTACTAAGGACTGTTTTGAATGCCTTTCAAAACAACGGGAACAAACAAGGGAATAAAGACAGCAAGGATGGGAATTTTCTCAGAAGACAAAGGTTAAAGAGATTGGCAGATTTGTTTTCTATGAATCTGACCCACGTCTAATTGACCCAGGAATCTAGTTCTGTCTATTGTAATCCTATTAGGAAAATTCTTCAAGGACTTGTCTTGTGTTATAAGACCCTTGTAAGACTTGTAAGAAGTTAAAAATTTCGCCGAATATGATTTCCGAAAGATTTGTTTCTAATCAGTCTAAAGATTTGTTTCTAATCCTTTCGTCCATGTGTTAAAGATGACATCGACAGGAATTGCTTGTTTTATTGAAAACTGTGAAATGCCGGCGAAATTAAATGACTTTGGGTTTTCATAATTATAGCATTTTTTTGAAATCATTAAATGATATGAGAGTAAATGTTGCCACGAATGCAATGAGGATTTATTTTTATACAGCTGACAAATGTTGGCATGAATAGAGTATAATAAGTAATGTGAAACTAATACGCCGAGGAACGCATAAGACTGCTTAAAGTATTCCGTGATGACTGTTCATCGAAGATTTATGACGACACTTTCGTGTGTTTGTAAATTTTTTCGAACATTCCTTAAAAAAGACTGTGGACTTATTTTTTCGTAAGATAGGTCATAGCGAGTATCGCAACTGTAGCTAAAGGTAATTTTTGATGTTTTGTGTGATAATCGGTGTTGACATAAATTAACATTTTGCCCACGCGGAACAGAGAACTGGGTGCTAACGTAGTACGCAAAGGCTCATGGTTAGTACGTTTGTAAAAAGAGACGGTTGAGAAACTTGTGACATTCTACGGTCAGCCTTGCCACTAGCACTTTAACATAAGGTTTATTTTTATTGTATAAATAACGTTATTTGATTTATCTTTCATTCTGTTGTTTATATATCAACCTTAAAACCTCAAAGGTGATGCCACTGCATTTGGTCGGGGGCACACGGTCCCTGTTTTTCCTAATAAGAGGTTATTGGGTTTAAATGTCCGGCTTTGGCGCATGTAGGATGTTATTTGATGTATCTCTTTTCCAATTTGTTGTAAGTTTATTGTCACAAATNCTTTCGTGTGTTTGCAAATTTTTTCGAACATTCCTTAAAAAAGACTGTGTACTTATTTTTTCGTAAGATAGGTCATAGCGAGTGTCGCAACTGTAGCTAAAGGTAATTTTTGATGTTTTGTGTAATAATCGGTGTTGACATAAATTAACATTTTGCCGACGCGGAACAGAGAACTGGGTGCTAACGTAGTACGCAAAGGCTCATGGTTAGTACGTTTGTAAAAAGAGACGGTTGAGAAACTTGTGACATTCTACGGTTAGCCTTGCCACTAGCACTTTAACATAAGGTTTATTTTTATTGCATAAATAACGTTATTTGATTTATCTTTCATTCTGTTGTTTATATATCAACCTTAAAACCTCAAAGGTGGTGCCACTGCATTTGGTCGGGGGCACACGGTCCCTATTTTTCCTAATAAGAGGTTATTGGGTTTACGTGTCCAGCTTTGGCGCATGTAGGATGTTATTTGATGTATCTCTTTTCCAATTTGTTGTAAGTTTATTGTCACAAATTAAAACATATCTTGGGCCTGGCTGAACAACGCGCCCATGCCTCAACCTTTGAGTGTGTTCGGTTGTGTAGTGAAGGTAAAATATTTATTTTTATTTTCTTTTAGGGAAATTCCTTTTTCTTAAGGTTTAAACACAGCGAAGAAAGAACACAAGGCTAACTGGTACTCAAACACGAGCAAAGTGACATTTTAGACCTCAGGAAATATCTGCACAAAATGCTATTACATTTTAACGTTGGCATTTTAATCTTTATCATCTCGACTTCATTGTTGGAGATTGCACATAGCTGTGGCAGAAGAAGGCGCAGTTGTCATGGTAAGTTGTCAGTTATTATTCTTGCATTCATCCTATGTATTATTTGTTCATTTACTTCAGTAGTAATGTGTGACCAATTGCATGAACAGTTAAGTTGCGTGACCAAATTTGGCAGAAATGTCAGAACAGTTCCAAAGTTGACTGTAAAGATTTAGGAAAATGATCTTTATCCAATATCACAGTAATTCAATGATACGTTTTTTTCAGAAAAAGTCACGAATTTGAATACTAAAGTTTGGATGCTGTCCATAGGGAGGAAAGTTTGAAATCAGCGTGGGAAATCTAAGCCCCCCTTCCTCATGCCTACATATACAATCATGGACAAAGTCTTGGGACAAATTTGCACTTTTGGCGCTTTTGCCCACGCGCTAGACGCGAATACAACTTCACCTGCTTAGCCTCGTCCCCCTACCCCACACACAATGTTGAAAACTAGTACCTGCAAGTTTCAACATTATATTGGGTGGNATTTATTTTTATACAGCTGACAAATGTTGGCATGAATAGAGTATAATAAGTAATGTGAAACTAATACGCCGAGGAACGCATAAGACTGCTTAAAGTATTCCGTGATGACTGTTCATCGAAGATTTATGACGACACTTTCGTGTGTTTGTAAATTTTTTCGAACATTCCTTAAAAAAGACTGTGGACTTATTTTTTCGTAAGATAGGTCATAGCGAGTATCGCAACTGTAGCTAAAGGTAATTTTTGATGTTTTGTGTGATAATCGGTGTTGACATAAATTAACATTTTGCCCACGCGGAACAGAGAACTGGGTGCTAACGTAGTACGCAAAGGCTCATGGTTAGTACGTTTGTAAAAAGAGACGGTTGAGAAACTTGTGACATTCTACGGTCAGCCTTGCCACTAGCACTTTAACATAAGGTTTATTTTTATTGTATAAATAACGTTATTTGATTTATCTTTCATTCTGTTGTTTATATATCAACCTTAAAACCTCAAAGGTGATGCCACTGCATTTGGTCGGGGGCACACGGTCCCTGTTTTTCCTAATAAGAGGTTATTGGGTTTAAATGTCCGGCTTTGGCGCATGTAGGATGTTATTTGATGTATCTCTTTTCCAATTTGTTGTAAGTTTATTGTCACAAATTAAAACATATCTTGGGCCTGGCTGAACAACGCGCCCATGCCTCAACCTTTGAGTGTGTTCGGTTGTGTAGTGAAGGGAAAATATTTATTTTTATTTTCTTTTAGGGAAATTCCTTTTTCTTAAGGTTTAAACACAGCGAAGAAAGAACACAAGGCCAACTGGTAAAATGCTATTACATTTTAACGTTGGCATTTTAATCTTTATCATCTCGAATTCATTGTTGGAGATCGCACATAGCTGCAGCAGAAGAAGGCGCAGTTGTCATGGTAAGTTGTCAGTTATTATTCTTGCATTCATCCTATATATTATTTCTTCATTTACTTCGGCAGTAATGTGTGACCAGTTGCATGAACAGTTTAGTTGCGTGACCAAATTTGACAGAAATGTCAGAACAGTTCCAAAGTTGACTGTAAAGATTTAGGAAAATAATCTTTATCCAATATCACAGTAATTCAATGATACGTTTTTTTCAGGAAAAGTCACGAATTTGAATACTAAAGTTTGGATGCTGTCCATAGGGAGGAAAGTTTGAAATCAGCGCGGGAAATCTAAGCCCCCCTTCCTCAGGCCTACATATACAATCATGGACAAAATCTTGGGACAAATTTGCACTTTTGGCGCTTTTGCCCACACGCTAGACGCGAATACAACTTCACCTGCTTAGCCTCGTCCCCCTACTCCACATACAATGTTGAAAAATAGTACCTGCAAGTTTCAACATTGTATTGGGTGGGGAGGGGGAAGAGCAACGCGTTTTTAAAAGGAAAGCAACGCTTTTTTCAAACGTCAGTATAGTTCGTTACATTACACAAGTGTCCTAAGGACTTCTGTCCACGATTGCAAATGGGGTTATTCAGCAGTTTCCTCCAGGTTATGTGTAGGCTTTTATTGTAGCTCATCTCAAATTCGTCTTCAAAAAACCACGTGTTCTGTTTTTCTACCTGTAGCAGTACATGGCGGATGGAGTAGATGGTCTCCAGTTTCAATAAACCATTGCAGTTGCAGTGGCAAAGCTCGTCAGGTTCGACGCTGTACTAATCCTAGTCCCCGCTGTGGAGGATGGTCTTGTTCAGGTGGCTCTACACGATATGTTAATTGTAACGAATGCAGTTGCAACAATGGAGGCTGTCAGCACATCTGTGAGGAAACCGACGCGGGACGTACCTGCTCATGCCTTCCAGGATATAAACGCAGTGGAACTTCATGTACTGGTATGTGAATACTAAGAACTTGACGAATGTAGTCAAGTTTCGTTAGCCCTTCCGTGGAGCGAAAGGTTTTGTTCGATTTTTGGGTTCTGACTCGCGCAAGAATGACGGTGAGAGCAAACAACCGGCCGAAGGCAGAAATGGGCGGTCGTACCCTTGGGCAGCGGGTTTCAAAAATGAAATGAAATTTCGGTCACTGTCTATTTTTGCCATACTACGCCATAACGATAACATATGACCATAGGTTTACTCTGCACTGGTGTTTAAAGCACAGAAGGCTACCATTAATATAGCAACAATAGAGAATTGTAGTTTTGGATCATATTCGATTCTATCATCAGGTTATCTAAACAGCATACCATCACAATTTTGGCAGCCAGTTTTTTGATTGGTCACTTTACCCATACATGCTAAGAATTACATCGCCGACTTTATAAATACATGATGTAGATTTTCCTCCGAGAGAAACAACGAGCTAGCTGTATTTCCTTTGACGTAGGCAACATGGCATGATGTTGCCATATCATTTGGTAATTACGCCGTGTGTTCCAAACAGCCGCCATTTTAGATTCCTCGATTTTTTCAAAACGTCAGAGGACCACTGAAATAACTTTAATATATTCAAACTCAAGTGCAAAAAAATGCTAAGAAGCCTTAAAAATGTAAAACGACTTGCTTAAAGCTAATTTCTTATAATAAAATCACCTTTCGCTTAAATGCTTAACCGAGGCTGGCTAAAAAATTGACGTTCCATCAACAACTGAAAGAAACCAAAGAAAGCATGCTTTAAAATTTCCGAGACAATAATGAAAAGAAAAAAAAAAAAAAACTAAGTTCAGTACAAAATTATTTCCATAGAAATACGTTGCGCTACAAGTGATTGGAGGACTCCGGATAATGGCGTCAAAAACCCTCAACACGTCTGTAGTGATGGACGGAAAGTAAAAGTGAATACATTATGCAGGGTTGAGTGTAAATTTGGTTACCAGCTTGAAGACACCTCAATTGCAACAGCTGTGTGCACTACACAAGGCAACTGGAACCCAAGGAACTCTCCTAAATGTATCGGTAAGTATTTCTGTGTTATCATGGTGAGGCAAACTTCATGGTGGTTGTTGAAATTACATGGATTTTAGCTCTGGGTCGTCTCAGGTTGGTTTTCGTCCTTTTAACCATTCCGAGATGGCGTTTGCTATCTCAAAAGTAAAAAAAAGGAAATAAATAAATAATTACACAAACAAGATATAAAATAAATAATTAAGCAATAGACCACAAGTTTTTATGGTTTATAGGCTGATAAACCACGCGGGATGTTGGAAGAACGCGAGAAGAATTCGTAAATCACGAGCCGCAGGCGAGTGATTAACGAATTCTTCGAGTGTTCTTCCAACGTCCCAAGTGGTTTATCATGCCTTTAAACCATAGAAACTTGTGGTATATTGCTTTTATATAAAAATTCAGAAGACCCTCGAAATTTCCATGAGTTTATTGGCACAATAAACCATAGCTGATTGACCAATCAGAGCGCGCGCATTGATTTGATTATATATAAAATTAAATAATAGATGATTAAATAATTCGTATAGCTCCAATAGTAGACCTTTTCTTCTGATATTTGATGAAGTATTATCATATGACTGGTATTAAAGCTATCATTTTGTTCTTGAATTAAATCATTTATAACCGAGAAACTCGCAATTATGTGAACGTGCCCATACATTCTCAGTAATTTAACAAATATTTTTTCTAGCTTGAGTATTTGAGCTATAGATCTGATATATAATCTACATCATTTCTGCATTATTGACTTTAAATCAGCTCATTTTAATTTGTTTTAGGATTTAATTTTTTATAGCCGAGAAATTCGCAACTATGTGACCGTCTCCATACATTCTCTGTAATTTAACAAATAATTTTTTCTAGCTTTAGCATTTAAGCTGTAGTTCTGAAACTATGCAGACCTCGTCTATGTTCATTGACCCTGAACACTGTTCATTTTGTTTTTGGATTGATTTGTTTAATAGCTGAGTAATTCGCAATTAACGTTACTTCTCCAAACAAGAAATCTGTGTTTTAACGAAAATATAAGGTATTGACAAGAAACTTCTTATATACAACCAGTTAAAAGCGGAGTCGCTCCAACCGCCCAGTTGAATGAAATTTTAAACCTACCGACCACCCTACGCACGGAGTGATGATCGTCTCATACGTGATCGGTCTTTCATAAAAGTTTGTAACTAAAGCGATTTCTGAATATATTACTTCTGCTAGCTAAAGAAGGATATCTGTGATATGCATGAAGTTTGCCAAGATTAAATATTACGCTCTCTCGGTCAAGTTTGTGATTACATTTAAGATGACTGATGTCGCCTACACAGCTGTTTAATTTGAATCTCTGCGCAAGTTGGGTTTGCTGAACGAATACATTATGAACTAAGAAAACTGAGAAGTTACAAATAAATAAGCGAAAGAAGCAATGTAGCGCAGTTCAGTGTCAGGGTCAACAGCTTTCTACAGCTGTTGCTCCAGTTTTTAAATAGTAGAATACTTTAAAACTGACTTTCATGACATTTTCTTACATTATGGACTACCTTGATGACCAGTTAGTCGAATAAAATCTACTAAAGTAAGGATGAAGAAACACAGAGGGATTTTCAACAGAGTGTCGTCAAACCAAAAACCAAAGTAACCACTCCAGCCAATCACAAGGACGCAGATAATCCAGTGAACCAATAAAAACTCGAAGTAATTACAAGTAGCTGACGCGAAGCGCGGGAAAACGCGTGGAAAGAGTTACGATTGCTTTTGGTTTTACTTCTGATTGGATGAAAAATTGGCGGGAGTTTTTTAAGCCAATCGTGTAGCGTAGTAAGCGCAAAACCAATTACTTTTCGACACTCAAATGAAAACCACTCTATAACAAAGTTTTTTAAATTTATCTATTTTATTTGTTTTATTTATTCCGTTTCCTCCTGTCCTAGACTGAAATAAGAAATCGAAAAACACAATCAATCAAACAAACAAACAAACAAACAAACAAACAAAAAACAGGAAACACCCACACACACACAAGGAAATCACTGAACGTATCGTGTCTGTGCGGTTGCCCGGGTTGAATAAATAAATAAACTAACAAACAAAGAAATAAACAAAGAAATAAACAAATAACTAACTAACTAACTAAATAAATAAATAAATAAATAAATAAATAAGCCCACCAACCTTAGTTGACAAATTTTAATGAGTTAACAAGTTGATTTGATCTAAACCCTATTTAATATGTATCTTCTTTACTAGGATTTTTCTTTAATCTTTTCCACTTGTTTATCTTTGTAAACAATTCGTTTTTAATTATTTATTTACCTATTTATTTACTCAAATGATTTTTTTTTTCTCTATTAGCGAAAAAATGTAGCCCCGTGGTTCTTCCTAATCGTGGACGCGTAACTCCCTCTTCGTGTAAGACTGGGGCGTCTCATGGTGAAACATGCTACTTTAAATGCCTGGATAACTTCGAAGTCGATAACACTAAAGCTTCTTGTTACAATGGAGACTGGAGTACTAGTCCGTTTTTCAGTTGCGTCGGTAAGATACCAAAGTAACCCGTTAATTTGCGCAAATTCTTTAGGCCCCAACATAAAATGCGAAGGCGACTCAAAAAGAGACTTATGAGACTGCAACATGCGGTTTCTCTTTAGTTATTTTGAGTGATACCAGGCTGTGGACAGTCTTGAACTCTAGATGTAATGATATCTAACTGAAGAAAGAGAGAAAAGGAGTGAAACAGTTCAATGTAGAAACCGAGCTGTGTCACTATCGGTATGACTTTGTTTTACATTGTCACCGGTCCATTCGTGATGAATGAATGTTATCGCGCCACTCCACTCTTCGTCATGCTACGTCACGACACGACACGCCTCCTCACGCCACACCATCCCACCACGCCACGCCACGCCACGTCCCGTCACGTCACGGCCCTCTACGCCACGCCACGCCACGCCCCGTCACACCACTCCACGTCACTTTTCGCCGCGTCACACCACCCTGCGTCACGCCACGCCTCGCCGCGTCACGGCACGTCATGCCACGTCGCACCTCGCCATGCCAGATACCTATAACCATGAAAATGACCAAGAATATGGAAATGTAAAATGTGATAACGAAGAGGTTATATTCCGTTTTGGATAAATCAAAATGCTAAATTTGGTAGGGACTTGGCGAAACTAGTGAGAAGTATTCTCCACATAACCCCAACTTAATACTGTTGTGTTTTATTTCTCGTCTCATTTATAGACAAAACAAAGCCGGTGTTTACGAGTGGATGTCCGTCAGACCAATCTGTCATTGCCGATAAAGGAAAGACGGACAAAATGGTCTACTGGCCGGCAATTACGGCTGAGGATAATGATGGTGAAGTTCCCGACATGGAAGTTACTCCAGTAGAGATTTTTCCGACAGATACATCGTATAAATTTTCAAAAGGAACCCACGTTGTAACTTTTACGGCAAGGGATCAAAGAGGAAATTCACGATCTTGCTCTTTCAGAGTAGAAGTGAAAGGTAGTAGATGTCGGTTGTTTACGGTGGTTATTTACATTGGTAACAGCTACTTTCCCTTCAATTCTCGGTCTTACTAAAACACTCATATAAACTGTAATGGTTGACATCCTTATATGAACCAGTGGCAGATCCAGACCTTGAGCTAAGGGGGCGGGGGCACGGTTTTGTTTTGCTTGCCCTGCCGGCCTTTCTTCTTTCTGTGATTTCTTCTTTTTTTGCCCAAAATAAGGAGTGGGGTGGAGGGGNCTCTCAGGCACAAAAATCTGTCTGTTACCTATAATTAAGGTTATGCACTGAATCTCGTTTGTATTTGAGAAAGATCGAGAAGGAAACACTCAACCTGCAACCTTTCATTTTCCTATTTAGATTGTGACTCTGCATTCCGCGATCTTTCCTTTCGACCTGTGAATGAATTGCAAACCAAAGAATTTCCGTGGGGTGTTTTGGAAAACCCAAATAGTAAATAGCCAACAACGTATGGTGGAGAACAGTCACATTTAACCTTGGTAGCATTAGGGTTAACCCAGATAGCGATCATTTTAGTCTTAATAGCGCTTTGCTTTTCCCATAAATAGTTCTGACTCGACGTCAGTTTCATATAGCTCTTAATAATACAAGATGTTCCCTTACAGCTATTGAGAGTAAATCATTGCCATTTCAGTACACCTTGAGCTAACTGCATTGCTATTTAGCATGACCTTGGTGCTATTCAGGCTGAAGCATTTATGTACTTACTCGTCACTATAAGTGACTATTCGCCACTATTCGGGCGCTGTGCTCTATTTGCTATTCAGGTTTTCCAGACAGCCATCTGTGTGCACTTGTAAAGTGCCGGTAAACGTGTACCAAACCTAGAAATTCGACTGTTCGTGCCACAGCAACCAATAAGTTTGGTGACTTCAATTCGTCACAAACAAGTATGCCACGGTTGTGACACTATAGCTTGACATCTGTGACTTTTCCAGTTTCATATTTATTAGTATTATTTATTGCTGACCAAACGTGTAATCCAGTACCTGACTGCAAGAGGTTTGATTAAACATATTACTATTAGCACGAAATTACTGTTTTTGCAGCGTTGAAGTGCCCAGCCATTTCAGTACCTCCCAACATTCAAATGACAGGAGCTGGATGTCAAGATAGCTCTCCCGAGTTTGGGACAACCTGCTTTTTCGACTACCAACCGGGATATAAACGCACTGAGGGCTCTCGCTCTATACTGTGTAAAGCTGACCAAGCATGGAGTGGCTCACCCCTCCAATGTGAAGGTCAGAAAAACGTTTATATCAAGGAGCAATTGTGGTTAGAATTTACGCAATGCATGATCGTGGACCTCACAATCGGTAATTAAGATTCAAAAGTATCATCCTTCAGCGCATGCTCTGTAGAGCAAATAGGGATTAAACGGGATTACAGCTTGACGAATCAAAATATTAATTATATAGAGGACCATTGCAAAGGTATCTCTTCTAGATGAAAATTGTTTTTCGAACAGAGATTTGTGTATTTTGTTTTAGAATTCCACTGAGAGTTCACCCTATTGAGAGTAGAGCCAAAAAATGAAAGTCATGAAATGGTCAGGTAGACTCTTAACGCAAAATTTAATTGGTTTAGATCTTTTCTCGGTTCCTCTCTCCAACCCCTGCTCTCAATAGTCCAAGACCACCATCAAATAGTGCACAATTTTTAAAAATGATACTTTTATTATGTTTAGTATGAGATAATCGAATATTGAAAGGCTGTCATGGTAGTATATTTTCTGTAAAATAATATAGTCTTTGCTTCATCATGCTGAAGCTGTGACATGTCGCCCACTTCCTGTGGATTCAAAAGGACTCTCCGTGGAACCTGCATCTTGCGAAGTGACCAATTCCTCCTACGGAGCAGAGTGTCGGTTCCAATGCGCATCTGGATACAGGCTTGAAGGACCTTCCATAAAAACATGTACCCAGAGCGGTGACTGGTCTTTCCCTGCAAACACCTACTGTAAAGGTACGTTATGCCGTCTCAACCTGTGTAGCTAGTGTTGTTTCGCCAGCAAATACTTAAGTTTTACGCCAGGGGCCCGTTTCTCGAAAGTCCCGGAAACTTTTCGGGCCCGGAAAGCTGTAGCAAAATCTCTACCCTTACTATTACAGAGCTGTTTTGTTTACATATTCTTAATATGAACAGAGGTTCCCTTCATACAAGAAGTTTCAGGCGTATACACTTCTCTGTTTTAGATACAGATGAACTAAAAATGGCTTTACGGGCCCGGAAAGTTTCCGGGGCTTTCGACAAACGGGCCCCAGAGCCCATAATCAGTCTTATTTTGTAATGACCTTTAATTGGGCTCGGCTACCGAAGCAAAGCAACAGGGCGTAAAATCCCACCAGCTTCGCAGGCAAGGCCGTTTCGGTCCAATTCTCGAAGCAGTACTTGGACCTTTTAAATTACTAGCATAGTTTTCGTGTCAATTTTGTCTCGATATTTGCCGTAATCGTAGCTGGAACTTCTGAATAAAAGGAGAACAACAAAGTATATCTTAGTAGCACTTTTAAAAAAGAAATTTGTTATTCATGAATAAAGAAAAGATGACTTGGATCTGAACTCCCATAAAAAGAAAGTGAAATAGAACTGTGGTACAATGTTCTCTTGAACACGAGCTGACATATTTCTGAAGCTAAGAACAACTTTATCTTCAACATTTATTCTATTCCATTTCTATGCTTTTCTAAACAGATGTTTCCCCGCCTGACTTTGGTAATTCTTGCCCCGATACAATTGTGGAATATGCTGATAGGAATTCTAATACTAAGATGATCAGTTGGACTGAACCGCATGCTATAGACAATTCAGGGGTCGCACCAAAAGTTCAGCTTGTTGGCAAAAGTCCTGGTGACGTATTTCCAGAGGGCATCTATACTGTCAAATACATTTTTACCGATGACAGTGGAAATATAGCGGAATGTTCATTTCAAGTCTCTGTATCCGGTAAGTAACTTTAGGAACTCAAAGTGTCCTGAGTCGGGTCATCTGTGAAGGGATCGCGAGGGGTGCGGTTGTGTGAAGGAGGACGCAAGTAGTGTAATTTGAATGCTGAATGTGACCCAGTTTTGAAGTTATCAAACAATGATTCGGCCATACATATGTTTCTGATTTATAAATGTTATACATACCACAATCTATACGTATATGAACATGGACAAAGGCCTCTGGTTTGTAATCACGTTCTACCACGCTCACTTCCATTCTTCTCTGTCTTTTGCAAATATTGCTTACGGGTTCATCTATAAGCACCTCTACGACTGCAATTTAAAAGGTTGACACTTTCTTCGTTTTCCCATGCCTTTCTATTGTGGATTTTTTGTGTAGACGTGCGGCTGGGGATTCTGACACTCTTGCTAAACAGCAGACACCAGAAATCCTTACACTTATCTCATCGCTCCTCCGAGCAGGAGGTCTGTATGGGAAAATCTTGACAGAGGCCGTGAGTACAGACCGAACGCAGTGAGGTCTGTACACACGATCGGGGTCAAGATTCTCCGATGCAGACCGACTAAGCTCGGTTAATAAGATGTTTATTTAGTAAATGGTTTGAACCCAGGAGTATCAGTAGCTCGTATAGTGTGATCGTCCGGGTGAGGGTAGTTTTGAAAAGAACTGTTTTTGGTGACTGACGTTTCGACAACCTGAGCGGAAGTCATCTTCAGAGTCAAGTGAATAGTGTTTGTCAGTCGATGATGTTATAAG